TTAAGGACGTCAAACAAAAAGGTAGATATTGCACTTATTCTATAAGAAGTTTAAAGTACATTGTGAAAAATACATTTCCATCAACCTAATAAAATTTTCATATGTATTTTATTCATAAATACTTACAAAGAAGTCGTTGTCTTTTAGCCTTTTATTTTTCTTTTTTGTTTGTGTTAATGCATGCAGATGATTTTATTTGTAATGTGTTCTGTAGTTTTCAAAAAAACAACAACATGAAAAAAACAGCAAAAATGGAGATAAAAAGGTAAAATCAATATTCGTTTACAAATATAATAAAATTAGTGTTTTATTGTTTTGCCCATACCAGTATATAAATCACTATGAACTATGATCGTCTTTTCCTATATACAGACAGGTATTCGGTCTTGTTCATATTTACTACCAATCCAAATTGTTTCGAGTCTTTCTTAAGCATCATCTCGGTCTCCTGTTATTAAAACTTGATCATCGACGAAGAGTAGAATATAGGGCATAGAATTCCCAATTGGCAGACATCTTCTTTGGCAAATATCTTGAAGAGTATCCTTGTCTGAGGAAACAATACATTCTTCAGAAGTGTTTTTCCCACTTCCCAGATTTTACATTAAGATCATTTGTTTTCTCATTCCCTTCTATCCCTTGGTGAGCTAGCACCCAGATTAGAAGGAGTTTGTGTTCTTTGCCTGATTTGTTTAACCTCTCTAGGCATTCTTTAACCAACTACGAATGGATTGATACCGTGTTGATGGGTTTTAACGGTGCTTGATTATCAGATAATATGGTAATTTCTTGTTTCCGATAGTTCCTAACTACTAAGATAACTTGTACGCATCTTTCGATAGCGTAGATTTCTGCCTGTAGGATGCTAGGATAGTTGCACATTGTTTCAGAGTTTTTAGCTGTCGACCAAACACTTCGATTTTTGATCCTGCATATGTTTTGGAAGCATTAGTGTACCAAGTTATGGGTATGACTTTTTAATTGCTGAGCAAACGGTTTTCTCTTCCAATTTTTTTATTGCTCAATACTACATTGAGGTGGTTCTCAAAGTTGTACATTCTTAGTATGTCATCCATTGGGAATCAGAGGATTGGTATTTCCTTTTTAAGGTTGATTCTCACTATACCTCCCATATCAGCTCCCTTCCGTTTCCGTTTACATAAAATATTATATCATGTAAATGAATAGGACAATGCACACTATCCGTTCCGTTTTGCTTCCGTTCCATATCCTTTCCTTCCATACTTTTTTTGACGGACGGACTGAAGCGTGTCGGAAACAGCATTGTCCAGTTCTTATATTTGTACCAGCTCTGTTAAAATTTTGCTAATATTTATTTATTCTTTCACCTCTTCATTAAATCTATTACCTTTTTCAAAAGATACAAATTTTTAAAATAAAACTATCATAATGATATAAATTGTACAATAAAAAGTATGGAACTGATACGGAACGGAAGCTTCCATATAGTCTCAATACAATAAAAAATACGGAACGGATATGGAATGGATATGGAATGGAAACGGAAGGTATAGTGAGAATCAACCTTTAAAGGTGTTCCAAAATACATACCAATCTCTGGGATTTGCACAGGGTTAATTTTGCCGTACGTTGCTCTAGTTTTGTGTACCAAGCAACTGCTCCATAAGTATTCATGGGTCTTACTATATCATGGTATACAACAAGCGCAAAATGTTAGAGGCACATCTCTAGAATATTCTATTAATTTTAATTGTATTTTTTAGACATTGTGAATAATCATAAATTTTTGAAGTAAAACTTTTTACGCGCGCGGGGAGTAAAAATTCTAGTAGTGGGAACTATCGAATGAATACTATCGAAATATTCGATAGTTGCAATTCATTCGAATAATTCGATAGCTAGTAAGAAAACATTCGTTGAAAACTATTCGAATAAAAATTATCGAATAGATGCGTCATCTGCCTTGAAATATTGTATTCTAGTAATTCGGCAGCAAAAACCATTCATTTATAAAATTCATTTATTCGTCAGGATCGTCATTTATTCGTCAGGATCAATTTTAATAAACCCGACAGCGGTCGGTGGCAATGCTATGAAAGAAGCCGGCATCTTTGATTTTTGCGGAGTCAAATAAAGATAAGGACACATTTTTTTTATTGAGGTGCTAGTATTTACACAGAAAATATATTATGAAGGGCGCTGTTGCCATATATTCGTATTAGTTGGTATTAGCAAAGAATATTATTCTTTAGCATTAGTTAGTTAGGGATAGTATGTCTATATGTTTTGCATTTTTTTATTAATATTCTGTTGTTACACTGCAATAATACTTTTTATTTTGGATGTAGGAAATGATTTTTAATGTTTTTAAGCAAAGACTGGTTAAATAAATAATAATAACAGTAATAATTTGTTGTACCTATTAACAACAAAATTTACAATCATTTAATAATATAAACATTTTTTTTAAGTAGTAGCAAAATATAAACAACAAATAGAAGTCAAAAGTATTTATATTAGATCCTATTTAAAAATAATATAGGCTCTAAATGGCAACGTTGGTTTATTAAATAATAATAATTACAGAACTAATTTGTTATATTAACAACAAATTTTAAAATCATGAAATATAAACATTTATTAATTTTCTAAGCATGCAGTGTAATGGAAGGAAAATATAAATAAAAAATTAGAGATCAAAATTTTTTATATTACTTTTTATTACTTTATATTACTATTTAAAAATAATATTTACTTGTGCTGGCATTTACTTAAAAAATAAATGAAATATTTCTTCGCAAAAAACTACATGTAAGAGAATTAGCATAAACAAAATACAAACATTGTTAACTTTTTTTTTAAATTGGCACGTGTAAAACTTTCAATTTAATTTTCTCACCCCAAAATTTGAGTTCGATAACTATTTACTTAACCACTTACTTAAATATGATTATTAAGTTCAACTAATTTATATTATTAAAACATCTAAAATACAAATATGTATTTTTTAAATTAATTGTAAGTTCATCTCATCTCTCTTAAAAATTGCTACTTCTCAAAATTGCCCATTAAAAAAATGCAATCTAACCTAACCATAATATACCATATAAAATTAAATAATTGAAAGATCGGGCTACGGAAAATCACACAAATTTTCGGAAAAATTTTGACCACTTCGCACACAATCGTCAATTAAAAAAAACTACTATTTTAGTATTTTAAATATTTTAATAAACGCAAAAATCGTATAGTATTTACAAGGCAAAGTTATAAAAATTTGGAAGAACTAATAATGCACTGACGCATACAAAAATCAAACGAATACAAAATTTCATTTATCAAAAGCATTTGATAGTCGTGACGCAACGATAACCATTTAGTCGCATGGCGAGGTTGTCACATATGCTTTAGTATACAAATGAATGAATGATTTTATTCGAATAAAACCATTCGATAGTTAAAATCATTCATTCAGTAACCATTCGATAGTCTAATTCATTCGATAGTTCCCATCGCTAAAAAATTCAAGGCCGTGACACTCGGCCTTGAAGCGTGACGGGCGTGACTCGCGAGCAATGCGCGACCTAGCGAGAGGAACAGTGATAGTGGCAGTGGGGCCACGGCTACCGTATTCGGGGTAGATCTACCCCTTTGTAAAACAATATCCGCTATCTCGTGATAATCTACCCCGATGAAAAATAAACTTGTGGCAACACTGGGTAACGATCTGTGCTATACGCGGCTAAGAAAATCACTATAATAAACTTGATATTGTACCAACCTTGTGTACTAGGAAGTAAATTTTCAGGCATATTTTCATCGATAGGTTTGTTGCTTCTGAATAACGGTTTAGGTAAAGCATCTAGCTCATTTACCAGCTCAGAATTATAATTTAGAGTTAGTAACTCGCATTTTCATTGGAGGACACTGTCATATTTATTTCAAACTAGTAATCAACGAGAATATTCGTATAATTTAATAAAATTACTGTAAATCATTATATATAATGAATTTTTTGTAATTGAGCTGCAATTTCTGGAAAATGATGGAGATAAACAATTGTGATTGATTAAAATTTTAATTTAAGATGAAATTTTTGTTAACAACATTCTGAGAATTCGAATAATGAATTGAATGATGACAAGTGATATCTGTCTAAAAAAAGACAGCGATTTAGAGTGACAATTTTGATTATGCAAAAGAAATACATATTCTTTGAGTTTACTGGTTGCCTAACGATTAACATTAATTCAAAAATAAATCCCCAACATGAATAATGAACAAAACATTTAAACAAAAACAGACCACAGACCACACAAAACAAATTGTTGATTAGTAGCAGTTAGTAGTAATCAGAGATATAGATGTGGTAATATTTTGGTTTAATGGCCACAGCTGCCAGGCTATCCTGCCGAGTGATAGAATTATCGTTTTTTAATAAAAATTAAAAAAAAAACATTATAAAATTATAAAGCCATAATGGTATACGATTTTATATTAACTCTATTTTTTGAAGCTTATAAAAGCATTAATAAAAGCATATATATATATATATATATATATATATATATATATATATATATATATATATATATATATATATATATATATATATATATATATATATATATATATATATATATATATCCTTCAATTCAATAGTTGTTTCACTTCAAATATACGCACATAGTGCACACACAATTTTTTTTATTAAGTATAATTGAAACCACTAATTTATTCCACTAATTTCGAGGTTCTCGATGAAGCTTTATTTATTAACTTTATTTGTGTTTTGTATGTAAAATATTATATATTTTTTTAGTATAAATATTTTAGCGGCAAATACCAAGAGTGTATTGTAGTTAAAGTAAAAATGCTTTTCCAGCACCATATCGTGCTCGATATCGTTTTTCCAATATCGCTCTCTCGTATTCTTGACTATAAATTGAAAATGCATTTGGCAACGAATTTTTTTTTCTGCCACAGTAATAATCCTCGTTGATTTTTGCCCTTTTCAGGTTCAAAGTTCCTATGCTCCGAAGTGATAGCGCCGATACGCAGCGAGGTGGATGACATCAGCTTAATCATCATCAACTTCGAGGATCTCACGACGGCTCCGGCGCCGTCTCTTGAAAGCAGCCCCGTCGGCAAAAATAGGTTAAGTAAATGTAAGTATCTCACACAGATAGGCGTCCATAGAATGCATCACGGTTTTTGTTTAATACCTACTCAATCGTATTATGAGTTTCTTCTTTAATTACACATCAACTCGGTCGTGAATTTTGACGCTTTCTACAGTATGTCCCCGGATTAGGTTTACAAGAGAAAACTTTTTCATTAATGACATTTTAAGAAAAATATATTAATATAGTTTATATAACATTCTTCATAAAAAATTTTGCTTATTTCAAAATGGTTAATCCCACTTTATACTTTTTCTCATTTCCATATCGTTTTAGAAAAAATATAAAAAACATGAAAATGCACACTTGCTATGCACTAAAAGTAAATGGATGGGTTGTTTAAAATTTATGAATGAAAAAAAAGCAACCTTATCGAATTTTTCTTATTTAAACATATTGTAAGATCCCATCCCAAGTGGTTCTTAAGCTATGTGTTACGTGTTATGTGTTAAATGTCGAGTTTTTAAATTATCGCGATTACTGACATTTTATCGTTATAAAAAAATGGACACCCTAACGATATCCTTATAATTCCATTTCAGATGCTTAGAAACATATCTAATGATTTTATCTAGTCATCTTTTCGAAAAAGAGTCTTTTAAAAAATTAAAGCGGTTTGCGATCGTGATTTTAGTACTTGATAAGGCGTACCGACAACACCGCAACAGCACACCGTTGCATTTCTCTCATTCCCACTTAATAAGATCCCTATGCGATTTACTTCCACACATGTAAATACCGACCCAAAAGTAACAGTTGCCAGCACGGTATATTTTAATTTCATCAGTGTCAGTACACACAACCGCAATGCCTTTGTGTGGCTTTATTAGAAAGGTAAATAAAAACACTCAAATATAAATTTCCAAATATCGATAACTATCCACAAAACTAAGCTTTAGTTCGGATTTTTCTTATTAACGATTCTGAACAGTCCTAAAAAACCGATTCTAAAAAACGTGAAGTAACCTAATACTAAGGGCTGGCAAAGGTTAGTTCTGTATGTACGAAGAGTGCAATGCGTTTATAATGTACTGAACAAAGAGAGAACACTAAACACGTTGCCAAACATATAAAATAAACCGAGAAACTGTGCACATTGCTAAGAGACGTGGAAGGGGATATATCAGATTTGTCGCAGTCCAACCAGTCGACCGAATCAGTACCTCTGTCAGTACTTCCAAGGGACAAATTCCAGGGACAGGTGTACATCATGCGTTCAGCTTCACGATTTAATTACGTCTTGCGATACTTTATTTGTTTATTTATTAACGAGTCGTTGTAATTTACCCTACAGCTTGAAAATTTTTAAGTGCAAGTTGCATTTTTGGTAAAAATAAGTGGAATTGAGTTGATGTTCGACAGTGGTCGCGCTATTTGAACTCTGATCTCTGAAAATAATTGATTGTAGTTTTTTCAAAAACTTTCTTAACATTAAATTTCTGCTATATTTTCTTCGCAGAAGGTATGTGAAAATCTTTATAAATAAAAAAGTTACACGATTGCTGAAAATTGCTATGCACTAAAAGTAAATGGATTGGTTGTTTAAAATTTTTGAATGGAAAAAAAGAACCTTGTCGAATTTTTCTTATTTAAGCATATTGTAAATGATCCGATCTTTAAAATAAAAAAAAAGTTTTGATGTCTAAAGCGGTTCTTAAGTTATGGCGTGTTATGTGTTAAAAAGTTGAGTTTTTAAATTATTGCGATTACTGACGTTTTATCGTTATAAAAAATGGACAGCCTATAACGATATCCTTATAATTCCATTTCAGATACTCAGAAACATATCTTATGATTTTATCTAGCTATCTTTTCGAAAAAAAGTCGTTTAAAAATAAGCGGTTTGCGATCGTGATTTTACTTCACTTGATAGGGAAAGGCGTACCGGCAACGGCGCAACAGCACACCGTCGCATTTCTTTCACTCCGACTTAATAAGATCCCTATGCGATTTACTTCCAAGCATGTAAATACGATTCAAAAGTAACAGTTGCCAGCACGGTATATTAATAATTGTTATCTATACTTCATATCAAATAAACTTTTAGTAGTTATTAGACTTGACCGGCACAGCGTTGCTCACTTTTACATATTTTCTTTTAATAAAAATATTTTAGGAAACAAAATAAATTAATTATAAATATGTAAAAACAGTTATTATTTACATCAACAAAACTTACCTCCTTAACAGCACTTATGGGACATAAAGGGCCATTGCTACCGCTTTCCCGTTCAAAATATTCTAATAAAGTTGCGATGAGTTTTTACGGCTATTAAGGTACATTCAGGCTGAGAGCGTCGAGCGTCGCGTCGCGTTTGCGTCGCGTCCGCCCCATTGAACTCGAACCCCGACACTCAGCGGACGCTAGCGCAACGCCAAATGCGACGCTGTCTACCTGAACGGTCTAATTTAAGTTAAGTGAATTGATTCCATTTCGACACGCGTACGCGACGCAAACACGACGCGACGTTCGACACTCTCAGCCTGAATGTACCTTTAGCAACCTTGTACACTTCGCACTAAAAGAGGTTATAAAAAGAACATTGTTCGACTGCAAGGTCTACTAGTAATTTTTTTTTAAGCTTACGGTATCACAACACAATTTATTTAAACCAAAAACTCGTAATATATAAAACTAAAGTGTCAAAACGAATGACAATGTCAGAAAATAAATAAATAAATGTGGCAGCTTGACATTTTTTACAACAGAGTTACTACCTGAATCCCCAGCGGGAAATTTAAATTCCAGTTAGTCAGCTCGGCACCGAATATCTCCATGGTTAGCAACAATGAATTTACAAATCGCGCCCTCGATTACGTAACTAAAAGTTTAATTGGTATTGAATATATGAATCTATAATGCTTAATATCGATAGTTTCGATATATCGATAGGTATCGATATATCGATAAGAATCAAAATATTAATAGGTATCGATATACCGATAGGCATCGATATATTGTTAGGTAAAGATAAATCGATAATTTTTAAGTCACCTATTGTTATTCGATATATCGATAATTATCGATAAAATAAATAAAAAAATCCCATCCTTAGTAATAAATCCCTAAAATTAATTCATTACTAACGGTCGTGAATGTATTTTCAGTAGTATTATTTACATTTTTGATATGAAATTCAGGGGATATTTATTATCATCCACTTGTTTTCAATTGTTCTATCTAACACTTTTGAAGTCGACAGAGCCCGTGCCTCGTTCCGTCAGAGTCTTCGCCTCGGCAGAGGGCGCGCCCTACGACTAGGAGGATACTTGACACCTCCCAGTGACGTCACAGCCGCCGAAGAGGAGGAGGAGACGTTGGAACAATGGTGAGTGGTGTGTGGTATTAAGTAGAAATTAATTAGGTCTGACGCATCCGATCTTTGACAGATTAATTAATTTTATTTACCACTGCCTACTAAAAGAACGTGAGAGATGCGGAACAAAGTATTTCTACCTGACGAATTCTACTAAGTATCATTTACTTATTTTTCACGTTTTATTCTGTCTTATTATTCTTGATTAGTGTAATACCGTATGATCGAAAAAAACGGCGTCTAGTTGGCTTGGAAACAACGATGTACATATAAAATGACAGCGATCTTCATTTCATAGCCATCGCTGACGTTTTTTTCGTTTATACGGTACAATAATCGATTAAGATAAATTAACATATTAAACATACTTAAGTGTTTATGAATAATTATAGTTATTATCAGTAATTTATTAAATATACAAAAGATAACGAGTTTTGTCTAAATGTTATTACAAAACTTGATTTTGTTTCCCATTTTTGTTCAATTTATGATAATGTAAATGATGTACAGGGTCCGGCAATAGTGCGTCGGGCTCCTACAATAAAAAACTTAGAAATTTTGTTTATGTGCAAACCTAAAGTATACAGGGTGGTCCGAACTGTATTCCGGAAACTTCGGCAGCATATTCTACAGATAAAAATAAGTAAAAAAGTTCTTATAAATGTATGTCCTAAAATGCTTAGTTTCGGAGATACAGAGTGTAGAAGTTTCATTTTTATTTCGATTTTTTTCAAATAATTTCTGAAGTAACGTCAATATTTGGATGAAAATTGGTGTCTAGGAGTTTTTTGTCATGATAAATTTGATTTTGATGTCAATATGACTCCTACTGGTAGAGGGCGCCACCTACATTTGTTTTAACCTTTGAATAAGAAGACTAAGGAAGGAGCATATCAAAAATCTTAGGTACACCGCGATGGGCCTCAAATATGGCCGACTTAAATTCCGGTTTATGAGTGTCGTTAAGGAAACTTAATATTTTTTATAAAATTATTTTCTTTTATGTAATTTCTTAGATTAAGATTAATTATTTTAATTTCTTTAAATTTTAAATTGCCGCACTTATACCTGCTTCCTGCCACATTAGTGTACGCATGCCCGAACACTAGGAAGTGTGAAACACAGTCCATTACAAACCGTCGTACGACGAAATTGGTCAGCTAACCGGTACGCGCCGAAAGTCTGAACTTAAAAGTTAAATCCCTTCAAAGACGATTTATGTTAGTGTATGTGTGAAAATTAGCGCTGAGAAGATCAAGATCGAGAAGAGGGCCCTCTGAAGCTGTCTGAGACGACCATTAAAGGTAGGAGCAGGTTTCTCATTTCTCTGTGCGGTTTCTCCCATCTATTAACGTAATTTTCATTGATAAAATAAGACCAGTCAAACTAAAATTTAAAATTAATACAGTCCACAACTGCATTTCTGCACAGTCGTTCTAATTTTATTTAAAAAATGTAAAACTATGATGTAGGGTAGACACGTAATAAAAAATCGAAATAAAAATGAAACTTCTACACTCTGTATCTCCGAAACTAAGCATTTTAGAACATATATTTATACGAACTTTTTGACTTATTTTTATCTGCAGAATATGCTGCCGAAGTTTCCGGAATACAATTCGGACCACCCTGTATACTAGGATGTATTTAAAAAAAATTAACTTCTACAAGGTGGCTCAAAAAAGTGTGAGTGGATCGGGATGATTTTTTTAAATGGAACACCCTCTAATTTAATGCATTTTTGGCTTCTTTCCATATCACTTTACGTAATCCTAAGATATGAGTAAATATATTTCGATAGATTCAGAGATATTAATAAATATATAAAAATTATATAGTTTTCAGTTTTTCTTTAAAAAAATATTAAAAATACGACTACTGTCCCGAAATCAAAACTATATTAAGTATTTACTTCAGATAGTCTGTACTTTCTTTGATATACATATTGTAATCATAAATCATACAGGGTGTTCAAAATTAAATAAAGATAAACTTTGTAAAAGTTAAACTAATTTTTCTTCGTTTTTTTTTTAATGGAACACCTGGTATGTTATTTTTTTAATAGAAGAATAATTAAAAAATGGAGATTTTTTTTGTATTTAGAGTATTTCAAAAATTTTAACGGTCGCGTTAATTCGATATTCGCGGTTTAATTTTTCATACAGCGTTTTCCACAGTAAATTTCAGGCGTCTAAATGCAAAAACCCGACAAGTCGAAGTGAAAATTGAGTTCTATACACTATTTACTTCGTTATCCCAAGAAAAACTCCCTGAATTACATTTTTATTCAAGATATTTTCAAGAAATAATGCACCACATAAATTCAGTGCTTTACATTTATTATTCGTTTTAATACTCATAATATTTTAAATAATTTTTTGTGTATTCTGTAAAATTTATTTCAATGGATTTGTCGGGTTTTAAAGCCACCCAATGATTTTTGTCTCCAATTTTATTACCATTTGAAATTGTCATAACATAACACGTTACCCAGTTTGGGTTATTTTTCACTTAATTTTTACTACCCGAAAGAGCGTTACATCACACAAACTTTGTAGCTAAGAATTTTATAGTTTCAGTAGCTACAATAGTAAAAACTAAGATACTTGAATATATGACAAAGCCACGATTGTAAATTTTTGCATTTGACTGCATGAAATACAAAGCCGGAAAGTTATGATTTCTGTCGTATATCTAGCGCTGCTGTCGAAAATTTAAAAATCGTCTAATTTCGTACAACAAAAAATATTTTGTCAAAAATTATGAAAATGAAAGATGATCGTTTTAGTCGTTTTTGTTTTTAGCCCCTTAACTTCCAACTCGCCCACGCCTATACTCTCCGAGCAGACGTGGGTGACGCGGACCGAAGCCCCCCAGGTGCCCCATGCCAGTCCCCCCGCTCCCTTCCACGTGGGAGCCGTGCATCGGACTCCCGACTACACTGCACTGACAATAAGTCACAGCGCGCCCACCAGTCATCAGGCTAGTTTTGAAAGGGGCGAAAGCCAGGAACGGGGGGTAATTGGTACTAGAAATAATGGTAACAACGGAAGCAATAATAGGTAAGAAATGAGAAGATTCTTCGAAATTGTTTACAAACTTTAACTTGAAAATTAATCGAAATTAATCTGGATTGAGAAAACGCTCAAGTTCAACAATTTGTTTTATTGCAATTGAGTTCAACGATTTGTTTTATTGAGTTTAGCAAGAGGCTATACTGGACGAAGTAGTGGCGATCGAATCACAACACAACGATCTACAAAATGTGGATCAGCTGCGTTTTGCGGGGATACACTTTCGGGTGGACATGATCCTCAAAGATTGTGTATCTCAAGAATCGGCGAATTGGTTGGTGGAAATCCCACCTAAGCTTAAAAAATTGGCAAGGGCCGGAACTGGTTGCAGTAAAGGGAGAAAACATCCCTAAAGCGGCGGCCATCATGGTCTTTCTGCCGAGGATTAAAGGGAAAGACACCACCTACCTGCTGAGCCTTATCCAGGGTCAGAACTTCAATGTAAGGACATCGAGTTGGGAGGAGGGTCATGGTGAGGTCCTCACAATAGGAATTGACCTCAAATCCAAGGAGGCAATAGAGAAAGAGGGATATATTCTCTATTATAGATACGGGACAACACCGGTATCAGGTTTAAGGAGAGACCAAGTTAAAGAGGTGGAGAAAATGGAGACAGATCCTCCAGCCTCCACCTCACGGGTTTCTCAGCCGGAGGCAAGCTCCTCGACTGTGAAGGGCGGCACGGAGGGCCAAACTCCAACTGTGGAAGGGTGTGTACCCTCGGAGGAAGAACTGTTGTCATAGGAGGTTGGGAAATACCCTGTCCCCTCTACAACAGGGGTATGATGGGTTATAGATTGTATGATGACTCAAGGAAGGGGGGCACAATAGATCTTTAAGGTCGCAGTGATTAACCCCTCCCCCCTCTTCCTCATTCTACATATTTGATAACCCATTGGTCAAAAATTGAATTTAGACATATACTGCTGTTTTTAATAGCTTATTGCAATGCTATTAAGTACAAGGCAAGTTTTACATATTATTTCATATTACATCAATCCATCGGTATTCAGCGTATTAATATGATTGTAAATTGTATGGGAAGGGGTAGCTAATGGCGCGACCTTATTATAGATATATTGTGTCCCTCTTTCTTGAGTTATAACTCATCCTACAATCTCAGGGCTTTGACAAAAGCCATTATCTGAGCTGAGTCGGGTCTACAGTGTTCCCCATCTTCGATATCAGTCGTAACAAAGTTTATGGCACGAATGGTTGTCGTTCCGGCGCACCCAATGACGAGGTATTCTATAATTTTCCGATTTTCTTCACAGAATCTGCATTCGCCGTTGTTTCTTAGCTTCAATCTACTGAGGTGCTCAGGAGAGTGAGACAGTGTCCTGTTAAAAATCCCCTGACAATCCGAAGCTTGTTTTTATTTAAATCATGGAAAATGTTTGACTTTTCTCTGTAAGTTCTGAGAAATTTCTTGAGCCGTTGGAGGATTTCCTTTCTAGGTTCTTGAGTTCTGCTTTTTGTTGGTTTCTACTTGGGAAGCAGAAATGTTTTGGTCTAGTTAGTGGAGTGTTTACTCCATTTCTAGCTAGATTGTTTGTTTTGTCATTGCCTTCTATCCCTTGGTGGGCTGGTACCCAAAGTAGGAGGACTTTATTTTCTTTGTCTAATTGGTTCAGTTGGTTTTCTTTAAGCATGCTTTGTCGCACTTCGAATTGATGGTTACTGAGTTTATCACTTTTAATGCTGCTTTACTATCGGATAAGATGGCTGTTTATTGTTTCCAATAGTTCCTATCTAAGATAAGTTGTACGCATACTGCGATGGCGTAGATTTCTGCCTGAAGGATGCCGTGGTAGGTGCCCATTGGTTCGTATAGTATCTAGTTTTTGGCCAAATACGCCTTTCCCTGTTCCTGCTTTGGTTTCGAAGCATTATACCACGTTATGGTATGGTCTTTTACTTGCCGAGCAAACGTTTCTTCCTTCCAACTCTTTTTATTTTTCAATACTACAGTGAGGTGTTACTCAAAGGTCTACATCGATACGATAATATGAAGTGAAATCGAGCACATGGTTATTTAGTTAAAGAAATAGTAAACATATAAAAGATACCGTAAAAATGTTGATGTTCAAATATCCGTGTTTGTGTTGGAGCTGTGATAAGCTTTAAAAGTAATTACCTAAACGGCTTGAAGCAATGAAATACATTGCATTTTATATTATGCAAGTTATGGTGAAGCTATGAGTAAATCTGCTCTTTTTGTAGTCTATACCTAGACTAGTGCAATACTCGTAGCTTTCAACAGCACAAGGTTAATAATAACTTTTACATAACATTGTTAAATAAAAGTACAAAAGGAGTTCGTCGGCTATAACTTTTATTTTATTTTAACTAAGAGTAGTTCTGACTTTGATATCCATTGTCTTGCTAACAAGCGAAGACTATATTTTAATATACGATGTTCATCTTCTTTCGGCTTGAATGCTTCGCCACTATGATATCGGAATTCCATTTCATTTTGAACTCACTATTAATATATGAATGAGAATGCGGTATTTTAAAAATCCGGAACTCATCTACATATTAGGTTTAGAGAACTATCCTACAATTTTTCTAATCTGACCCAATTATTTTTTTATTCAAAAAGGTAATTTGTAAATTATTGTACAGGGTGGGTCAAATTCGACGCTTTTAAATGGAAACACCCTTTTCTATAGGAGATAGACGAAAACTAATATCGGTGTCTGGAGCTCAATTTTCATCAAAAACATGATGGTGAAAACCGCACATCAATATCTGTTACCGTTTCGGAGTTACGGGGTGTTTTTCAAAAATGTGCATTTTTAACAAATCGCTGTAACTTTTTTGCTATCGAAAATTTTGCATTTCTATAAAAACATTTCCAAGGCACCTTTTTACCTAGAATTTAATAGTTTAAGTATAATTTTTTTTAAATTAATAATTTAAGAGTTATCAACAGAAAAATTGATTTTATATTTGGGACACCCTCTATATTTTTAATTAACTGAAAAGAATTTAAAATTACTTTTCTAAAAATATAGCACACTTGATATTTTGTTATAATCCCCTTCGAAATACAGCATTTTTAAAAGTTCGCCACTTTTAACTAGTAGACTTTGGACCCTTTATTGATGATATGCCCTTAATGGAACTCGAAAACATATTTTTCCAGCAAAACGACGCACCGCCTCTGATCGCTGAAGTTATCAGCAAATTTTTGCATCCAATTTCAAGAATAATTGAATAGCCAACCAAGATTCCAGCCGTTGGCCGTCGAGGCCGCCTGACTTAGTGCCCATGGATCTAATCCTATCGATATATTTGCGGAAAAATAAAGGTTCTAAATAAAAAATCTAGACAAGAATTAGAAATACTTAGCAGTTATGAGAGGGTATCTTTCACCCCTACTGAGTTAATGAATTCCGCGAGAAATGTTCAAAAACTGCCCGGTCTGTCCATAACAGAAGACGGTCGATATGTCGAACACCTATAGCAAAATCTCATGTCTTGGTTTGCTATTTATTTTTCTTGTTATTAGATAGAGTTTAAATGTGTTGATGTTGATTAAATATATTTTAAATAGTTATAAAATTCTGCATCTCTCATAGCAAATATTATTTTCGTTTTAATTGATGCTCATAGCTAGATTTTTTTGCATTACAGAATTTTTATATACTCTATATCTCGAAGAAAAATCGAGCAAAATATCAAGTGTGTTATATTTTTGGAAAGGTAATTTTAAATTATTTTCAATAAATTAAAAATACATAGGGTGTCCCATATAAAAAATCAAATTTTCTGTTGATAATTCTTAAATTATTAATTTTAAAAAAATTATACTTAAACCATTAAATTCTACGTAAAAAGGTGCTTTGGAAATGTTTTCATAAAAATACAAAATTTTCCATAACAAAAAAGTTACAGCGATTTGTTAAAAGTGCATATTTTTGAAAAACACCCCGTAACTCCGAAACGGTAACATATATCGATATGCGGTTTTCACTATCATATTTTTGACAAAAATTGAGCTCCAGACACCGATATTAGTTTTCGTCTATCTCCTATAGAAAAGGGTGTTTCCATTTAAAAGCGTCGAATTTGACCCACCCTGTACTCTTGTACTTTAAAACAATACTTGTAGCTTGTATATCAATCAAAACGTTATGGTACACTGAAAAATATCTGTAACATCATTTTATAATTAGAATTTTATTAGGGGTACTCTTATATTTAAGTGTATAGTTAAATATATTTAATTTATGTTTTATCTTTTCAGGCATTTACATTATTCCAATCAAAACGCTATTAGTGTACATAAAGTAACGCATGCCACAAGTTTAGATGCCATAGCTAGGAGACAATGTTTCAGAACGGGATATCCAGCACAAACTTTATGTAAGACAATGTATAATTTAAAACAGATTTTATTAAATATATTGAATGCCTGTCCCATAGTTATATATAAAAACTATAGAGGGTGGTCAGAATTCTATTCGGAAAATTTCGTCAGTATAATTTTTCAACTATAGTCATATTTGCGTGAAAATTGGTGTCTCGGTGTTTTTTTACATGTTTTATTACTCTTCAAAACAATAAAAACATATTATGTAGGTGTCGCTCCCTACAAGTAGGAGTCATACTGGCATCGAAATCGATTTTTTTATGTCTACACCCTGTATCTCCAAAACGAAACATTTTAGGACATAAAATTTAGACATTTACATGAACTTCTTTACTTAATTTTATCTGCAGAATATACTGCCGAAGTTTTTCGAATACAATTCAGACCACCCTGTATTTGTAATCGCAAAACATTTTCCGATGCACGTCATCGACACTAAGACACTAAAGTCTATAAACCTGACTAAATGAAATTTTGGCAAAAATGTTTAAATTTGTTGTATAATTTAAGATGCCGAGCAGCTCTTCATTTTACTTTCTAGAGCAAATGATTGTAACAGATATTTTATTTACATTAAAGCTGCAAAAATTAGTTTAAACCGAATTTTATTATCCCTATGTTGGTCACATTGCGCCGTATTCAGCAATGTTGTCCTTTATTATTTGACAATTATCCTAGTTTCAGTCATTATTTTGTCATTGTTAATTCTCGTTTTTTTGTCTATTTTCACAGTCTTTTTTAAAAATTGCACTTTTAAGCACAATCAGTTCTTTTAAGAACTAAATTTTCTAGTTTTTGTACTGCATTTCTTGAAATTGTATGTTGAAAATATGCCGAAGCATTTAAACAGTCGAAGCAAAGAGTTTGTAGCTTCCCTGTTTCTTTATTACCCTTGACTGCAGTCAGAAAAGTAAGTTTGATTGATAAGCACATTATAACACTTTCTAAGTTAGTTTTTATTAAATTCTGTGATTATTAGTTTGTGCATTAATAGCACACTCTTGTTATTACCACTTAGGCGTTGTAAGATGTACAGGGTGTCCCATTTTGGTTGAAATCATAAGATAGAATGGTGCGGTTTGCACAAACCTGTGCCACTTTTTTGTCAAACGGAAGATGCCGTAAACAAAATTTTCTCAGCCCTTTTTGTTTTTGAGCTACAGGGTCTTTTTGAAAATTTTGCAATTTGGGACACCCCTTGTATCTCTGTTATTGGAAAATGTATCGAGACGATGAAAACTGTTTGTTCTAGAACTTTTTACGTAGAATACAGTGGCGTAGTCTGTTATTCTACAAAAATAATCTTTTTAAAGATATGAACTAAAGTTATGTTTTCTTAAATGGAACACCCAGTATATTTATAAATTATATGATGGCTTGCCATAAACTTCTCAAAAATATATATCACTCGATATTTATTTTCACTATTTACTGCAATATTTAAAAAAAAATATTTAAAGATCATATTTATTAGTAGGCCATGATTAATAATAAAAGAAATTAAAGAATTATTAAAAGTATACTATCTGGCTCTAGTTTTATTTTGAGAGCCACTAATAAATTCTTTATTTATTAGTGAAACTTAACTCTCTACCGCTATTTGTAAAGGAAGCTACCATATCGGAACTTCTAAATATTCCTTTAGCTAATTTACGTGAAATATACTTTCAGCTAGATGGGGCTTCCCCTCACAACTTAACTTACGGACTAATTTACTATTAATAGACTTAATTTTGTTAAATTATTATTTATCAAATCAATGAATTCGAACCAATGGACCCATATGATGGCCTTCCTGATTCCCGGATTTGTCCGTTCTCGATTTCTGATTTTAGGGATTTTTGAAATATGAAACATATCGTGGCAACTAATACAATGTCGAACACCTGGAAAATGTTTTAATAATGCGAGCTAATAATGCAAGCTGTTAGATATTTGCAACCCCATCCCGTTATAAAAAAAAAGAAAAATATATTCAGAGATTCAGCGGTAACAGTTCAAAAGTAAAATATAAAAATGCTAAATAAAATTTTAATATGTGTATGACTGTTTTAGTAAATACCTTAGTTGATTTTGTTATTTATCACGGCCTACTAATAAAGAAAATGATATATTTTAAATATTGCAATCAATAGTGAAAATAAATATAGAGTGATATATATTTTTCAGAAGCTCATAGCAAGGCAGATCATATGATTTATAAATATACAGGATGTTCCATTTGAAAAAAACATAACTTTAGTTCATATTTTCAAAACTATTTTTTTCGTAGAAAAACAGGCTACGCCACTGTATTCTACGTAAAAAGTTCTACAAGAATCAGTTCCACCTTCTCGATATCATCCATAATAACGGAGATACGGGGGCTGTCCCTAATTGCAAATTTTTCGAAAAGACCCTGTAGCTCAGAAACGAAGAGGGCTTTGAAAATTTTGTTGACAGCATCTTCCGTTTGACAAAAAAGTGGCACAGGTTTGTGCAAACCGCATCCTTCTATCTTCATTATAAACGGAGATACCGTATGATTTCAACCAAAATGGGACACCCTGTACATCAATAAATAAATAACTCCATAATAAGGCTTATAATAATCTTCATACTGGACTATTTTTTGCCAATATATAGTAAGTAAAATAAGCTATAAAACAAATAAATCAATTAATCACTAAAATATTAGTTATTAAATTAAAAATAAAACGTAAAACTCTTTAAAAATGATATAATAAATATTTTGTTTGTCAATTTTAAATTAAGATTCATCTCATAAATGCATCACAATCTGGCAGCGTTGTCGTCATCGCTTGTCACTCAAAATTGATCACGTGCATCGGAAGTTGTTTTGCGATTACTCATATATTAGAAATGTGTTCGCAAATTCAAATTTTATTAATATTCTTAAAAACCAAAAAATATTGATAAATTTCGTCCGAAAATCTACCCACAGGTGCGTTTGGAAGTACATTGCAACATCTTTAATCGGAACAGTTAATTGTAACGGTTTAATCCGATTAGCAAATCGAAACGCTGAAAAAAACATGTTTTTAAGATGTTGAAGTTTGAAATTACGCGCGAATTTGCAAGAACTGTTAGACATATGTATATTTTAATCATCTATATATATATATATATATATATATATATATATATATATATATATATATATATATATATATATATATATATATATATATATATATATATATATATATATATATATATTTTTATTTGTAGCAAGTAAACCAATTTTAAGTAAACAATTTCCAAACGTTTCTTCGGAAAGCGACCTTCAGAGGTATCGAACAGCTCAACAGTCCAACGATAGAAAAAGTCCAAGTCTTTCGAATCCAACAGATTCAGTTAAACAAAAGGTTTGTCCACAAGTACGTACCAAACTATTTATATCTGTATCTAATCTGTATACACCGTATAAAAATATAACTAAACGCATGGTAAAACATAAAAATATGGTGTATTTTAAAGCTATCGAAGCGCCACCTATTAATTTTTGCTGTAAATTAACGTTGCTTTAATCGATAATCTATATATTTCAACATTTAGACCCTGAGTGGAGATGGCGCTAGTTGCTGACATGGAAAATGGTATTGATTTTTCTATAGAGCAAAGGCACTGAAAACAGAGGTTTTGTATTTTGTTGGTGGTTTAATTACAGAGAGCTTTAAAATCAATGCACGACTTAATCCAGTGGTGTAGACGACCATAAAATAAAAAAAATAAAAATAATAAGATAATCATAGTATAACAAATTGTGAAAAAAAATGAAAAACGTCAGAATTTATCTTCTGTAATATGAGATTGTTAAATAATAAAATTGTTTGATGATATGTATATTTGACTTTTTAATAAATTATCAATGAGTGATGAGTACGTATTTATACTCAGAGAAGTGCTTCCGTAGTATTTTTACTGAAAAACATTATACATATTCATAATCAAGAAATATGATTTATAATGTTTAGGCATTGTTTAGGTTAGGTTAATATGACATAAAAGTATTTTTAAAGATTTTACTGTACTTTGTCATAAATCAGGATGTCATAAACTTTTATTTTTACATTTCTCTCGACTACTCATATATTTTCTAACGGAAGGAAGGAAATATAATACGGCTCATAAATTACTATGTAATTATTTTGTAAACTTCAAGAGTGCTAGCTTTATAAATAGAATCCCAATAAATATGATTTATGTATGTAGCTGCTTATATCGTTATTTTGGAGGAAGTTCAAATTGGTATATGTTAAAGCAGCATTTAATTTACTTTTTCTTTTAAATCTTAAAATACATGAGATTTTTGATTGCAAAAAAATCGTATAATATACAGGGTGTCTACGATGCCCTCTATGGGTATCTGGGAAACTACTAGAGATAGAGAGTCGATTAAATGGTGAAAGAATTGCAATTTTGTGGGGTCATAAATATGCGCCTTTCAGATTTTTTGAAAAACTTCATTGCTCACTAGATATTTCGAAAAAAACAAATTTTGGCTTTTTTAAAAATTGTTCCTATTTCCATTATAATCTATTTTAGACAAAAAGTTTTCAGATAAAAGTTGTAGATAATCACATTCCTAATGAGTTTGTGTTTTCCGATTTTTTCTAAAGCCTGTCATTTTTGACATATGACACAAACATATTTTTTAAATGGAAACCATAGTTGACCATGAATTCATAAAAAGCTCCATTTTTAAAACAATATAAGCTATAATATGTTTTAGCCAAGTTATAGCCAATTTTTATCTTTATTGACTAATTTGACTTAGTTATCCATGGAAACAAATTCAATCGTCGTCCATCCAAACATCCAAATTTTGTAAATTAAAATAAACAAAAATTGTAAATATGAATTTTTCAAATGAAGAAAAGTGTGTAGGATTGTTCAACTTTTTTTAGAGAACAATTTTCAAGACATGTTTTAAGTTAAATTTAGATACTCGCGCATTAATAGAGTGGTTTCAAACAAAGTGGGCCAATTTCATGGGCCTCCTCGATCACCTGACCTATCAATTTTATATTTTTTTATGCGGTATGGTTAACAACAAGATTTACAAAGGAACTTATGAATTAAGAGAGGCACTCGAAGAGGCGGCACAGGAGAACCGGTCGTTCTGTGAGAATAGCTAGAAATTCAGTTTTAAAAAGATGCATTTATGTACTCAAAACAATGGCGGATTTTTTGAACATTTTCTAAAATAACTTAAAGTGTATTATTGTGTAGTGATATTATTTTTTTAAGTTTTAGTTTGTGGAATGTAAATTGTAAAGAGCCTTTAATAATATATTTATTGTCATTTTATAAGTTATAAATCATAACAAAATAAGAACACCATGCCAACTAAGTGAAATTAGTCAAGAAATATAAGAATTGGCTATAACTAATTTTTCGAAAAAAACATATAGCTTATATCGCTGAAAAGCTTAAAAATGGAGCTTTTTATGAAGTCATGGCCAACTATAGTTTCCATTTAAAAACACATATGTTTATGTCATATGTCAAAAATGGCAGGCTTTAGAAAAAATCGGAAAACACAAACTCATTAGAAATGTGATTATTTACAACTTTTATCTGAAAACTTTTTGTCTAAAATAGATAGATTTTTAAAATAGCTAAAATTTCTTTTTTTCGAAATATCTAGTAAACCATGAAGTTCTTCAAAAATTTGAAAGGCGCATATTTATGACCCCACAAAACTGCAATTCTTTTTCCGTTTAACCGACTCTCTATCTCCAGTACTTTCCAAGATACCCATAGAGAACATCGTAGGAAACTCACCCTGTATAAGTAGATTTATAACTTTCTATATTCTGAATATTGATAAAAATTCCAAACCATTCTGTAGTTTCTGTTTCAAACTTTAAAGTCTAAAAATACACTAAAACTATATCTAATGTTAAATATTATAAAATTATATAAGAGATTCTTGCCTTGAACTGCTAATATAGAAATTAATTCCACGCTGTGTTCGACATAATGTGGATCAACCTGCTCTCACTACCGGTTTCGGGGCCCTACCCCATCATCAGCTGAGCTTGGGTCGTTTCCACAATATGTCGAGCACAGCACAGAGTATATAAACACGACTTGTCGTAAAGTAGCGGTAAGATATTAAGTCCCGCATCGCGAGATAGCGGCCTGCGTGCAATGTATTTTCGTACCACCGAGGCACAATATCGATAGTGAATAAAGGCTTCTTTCGGCTAGCCCCAAATTATATTCTATATTAGCAGTTCAAGGCAAGAAACTCTTATATAATTTTATTATATACCTAAAAACTGCAAGAAATTTATTTTCCATTATATGTTAAATATTTTTAGATGACATTGATAGCAGAATTGGAAATTATTTTGAGTTTAAGAACTGATTTAAATAGGCAAGTTTTAGCAACTTTAAAATAAAAAAAATTTAAATGAATATTTCAGATTCAAATAAATTCTAAAAGAAAGCGATATTAAAAAAATTGCTGTATATTAAAAAATATGTTATTAATTAAATAGACACATTTAATAGAATTAATCCATATAAATAATATACAGATCCAATTTTTTGAAAAGATTTTTTGGCAAACGTATATTAAAGATAACTTTACCACATGCATTTGATATTTCAATTCGGATAATTTAATTATTATATATTAATAACAACATTAAAAATCTTATAGAATTACTTATCAAGTAATTTTACACTACTTTGGAATTTGTATTTTTAACTATTATTTTTATTTAGTTTTCACTTCAAGACAACGGATCAGCCAAATATTTCCAAAGTGGTATTCACACACCAAAAATGGGAGAAAAAGTTGCACAGGTAAGTTTTTACTAGAACTGTTTAATATTATACATTAATCGCGGAGATTTTTTAACTATTAGAAACAGTTTTTATTATACAGATATTAATGTTTTATTTAAGTATGCTGTTTAAAAATAAATCAATTGAATAATATTTAAGTCTTATAAATTATAATAAGGGCAAATATTTTTAGGGGTAGTATACTTCGACCATGGAAACACGATTATGAGGTTTTTTTTCGCAAAAAATAATTTGAAATTTTGGAATTTTTTAAAAAAAATTTGGAAATTTTTTAATTTTGGGTTAAAACACATAACTTCTTGATAATATATATGCCAATATAAGCAGTAGATTAAATTTACAATAAAGAAAACCCAGAAAAGATCAAGTTGTTTTCAACATTTAAGCAAATAGTAATTTCTTTGGAAATTTTCAAAGTAAAATAACTCGGTTATTATAGACTTATTTGAAAAACGACAAAGAGAAAATATGTTTGTTTTATTGAGATCTGCCAGCCCTGAAAATATTTGCAATTATTTAAGATTTGCCCTGTATAATAGTTAATATTATTGTTTTATTACAATATGTAATATTATTAGACTGACCTCATATTATAAAGATTATCTTAAAATAATACATTTAATTGCAATGTAACAGCTCTATGTATATTTTTAATTTTTCTCATAACTTATTAATCTATGATTAGCACTTTCTTTGCTATTGAAATTATGTGAATATATATGATTACAAGTAAAAGACACGAAATTTAATATAAATCTAGAGGTACCTGAAAACATAGATTATATAGTTAATATAAAAAAAAACATTTATATTTTCCACATTTTTTTAAATTATCTTTTTAAGTTCTCTTCCTATAAGTTAATATGGTTAGCGAAATTTGCAACACTATAGTAAATAAATATTTATTGGCAAATGTAAAAATATAGAAAGCATTATTATAATAATAAATCAGCCACAACATAGAAAATGTACAACAATATAATATTATGCAAATATGAACTACAGAAAAACTCAAATTAGTAAAACTGTTTTTCATTTTGAAAAATAATAATAAAATGTGGAAATTCATTAGGTTTAGTAAAAAAAAAACAATTATAATGAACATAGTATATATCTAAAAATTCACTAAAAGATAAATTACAAAGACACTAAATAAATGATAGCATACAAGTAAAACCTGGAATAAGCATTCATTCTCAGAATTTTTATCTCTTTATACTACAAAAATAAAAATTCTGAGAATTTTGATATTAAGATTATTGAAAACATAAACCTATTACAATATTTTTTAAAACGTGGTCAATTAAAAAGATAGCAATACTTTGGTTGATGTTTAATTATTAATCATTTAAAACAATATTAATATGCTAATTTTATGTATTTCAAAGGATAAAATATGAGATGTTTTCTTAGCTTCCAAGAGTTATATAATAAAAGTTTCGTTTTTTTAACGAACGGAAATAAAAACACTTAAGCAAATGGTATCCAGGACGGTAAAAGGTTAAAAATCTATAATAAAGGCCTCGAAATACCTCGGAATACTTGTAGTTGTGGGTCAAGGATACTTCTCAGAGGCGCTACCTTTATATACACGTGTTAATAGTATGTCTCCGGAATTTAATCACCGCTTTATGATAACTAGAATAACGGATTATTGATTTTAATAAGGACGGTATAGGTTGTTTATTTCTGTTAAATTACATTTACATCGTCTAAATTGCGAATATTTTTTCTCTGTTGTATATTTTGTAACATATGAGTTGATTACTGAAACTCAACTAAACATGAATATTAGGGTATCCGTTATTTCCAAATTATTCGGTTTTTTTTGCTGCCGCCTTCTGAAATTTTAGTTTTTGCTCTAAAAAAATTATCCAACGTAAACAAGCTCTTAATTTTTAATTTAAACCGTGCCGGAATCATGATACTTTTCTCATTTAAATAACGTAGGATTTTTTGACATTTTGCATTTAATTTTTTATCTCCAAAGCAAATGAACCTACAGCATCGACAAAGATATATTCTAATACAAAATTTTACGCTTTAAAAAAGGTCTTTTTGCTTTTTTAGTCAAAATCAATAGGCGCAATTAGAATTTGCAGTGAATGATAGAACAATTTGATTATAAACTATTTGCATAACTGGCATAACTTTGATCGCGAATAACTTTTAAAGGAATGTTTTTATGGAAAAAACCAAAGATACCTTTTTTACAGAGCGTAAAATATTGTATTAGAATATGTCTTTGTTGAAGCTATAGGTTCATTTGCTTTGGAGATAAAAAATTAAATGCAAAGAGTCAAAAAATCCCATGTTCAAATTAAAAATTAAGAGCTTGTTTACGTTGGATAATTTTTTTAGAGCAAAAACTAAAATTTCGGAGCGCAACAGCAAAAAAAAATCAACTTGGGAAATAACGGACACCCTAATGAATATGTGTGTGTTTAATATAGACTTCTATTATTTTTTGGGGTAGAATTTGTGTCATAGATAATTGTTTTAATAATATACAGGTGAATAAATTAATGCAAAGCTCTATAACTAACGAAAATAAATATTTTTTGATCTCCCTATTTGAAGTCCAATCGGTTGATTTAAACAGATCGAATATGTCGACTTTCCTTAACATGTAAACCAAATTTCGGCTTTCAATATGCCAAATTTATGATTTAACTAATGCTTATTCAAGATCATGTTTTTGTTATTATTTTTTATAAAAAATATTAGAAATATAAAAAAAAAATATTAGAAATATAGGTTAGCATAACAGAAAAAATATGAGATATGAAAGTAGTTTCGAAAAATGTAATAATATTCCGGGTGTTCAAATAAGAAAGATGCTACCACTTTTAGTATAAACTGGCAACATTGTAACACTGAAAATAATTTAGACTGGTGGAGCAGGTGCCTTTATATAAAATTCTAAATTTTCAAAAGAATCCTATCAAAGGTTCTCCATAAACGTCTATAAATATAATATCTATAAATATCTACATTCAAATCTGATAAATATTCAACTAAATTTTATATTTCCAGTTTCTATACATGTATACCATTATTACACATCTATCGAACCATAATACTATACACAAGGAAGTAATTAACATTTAAATGAGTCTACGATATGATGTACCGTTTGTGAAACTTGAAGCCTAGACGTCGTATACTCAAACAGCAGGAGAGACATAGCAAACATAATATTGTACGCAATAAACTTAAACAACTACTTCCTCTATATTGTGTATATTTTCCTCAACTATAGACTATCAATGTCATTTCAATGAAGTTCACATTTCAACGAGTTCTTTGATGTAAACCTGCTGTGTTTACAATGAATTGTATTACACAAGAATCGCCATGCCCCTCCTATAATTATAAAATTTAAATTATGTAGAAAAATATTGTTAATAATCTTAAATAATTAAAGCAGGATCGCTGGAGTATTTTTCAAAAGAATGTGAGCCACTGACTTTTTCTTTTGATATAAAAATTGTGTAGGCCGCTTAATGCCAATTAAAAGATATCTCTTGGTATTTTGTCGAATTCGGCCTCCTTGATGTTAACAATTTTTAAAGGAAGGTTTTTTGTAATTATCTTAAATACCATTATTTTTTTATTTGAAATTGCAGTAGGTTGGACTAATAGTCGTGATTAATAAAATTGTTATTATAGTCTGTCCAACGACAAGATCCTTGACAGTGATAGATGTGTCAGTCATTTTAATTTCAAATTAGTTTATTTTATTTTACAAAAAAATAAGTTGGTACAATTGGAACGCATAGCAGGAAATTAATATAATTAAAATTTGACTGACAAACTTCAAAATAATGTGAAAAAAACTGTATAAAACTGAATAAATCTAATCGAGTTATTTTATTTAACAAAAAACGGTAGGTATGTGTTAATACAAAACAAACAAGAACAAGACACCACATACCAAAAAAATATAAAAAAATTCACAGTCCTTTACAAAGATGCAACCGGGGGGGGGCATTGAAAATGATGAATAAAAACGTAAAAATATGATTATAAGTGTTAATATGAGTGTATTACATACATATGTTTAAATAACGAACTTAACAAAAAAACAAGAGATTTAAACATTCACTGAAAAAGGAGTAAAGAAAAGTAGTTTAGAATTCGACCTAACCTAACCTAAGCAAAGTCGAGATTCTCAAAAAAGATCTCTCGAAAATAATAAATAGTGAAATGACATTTACCCTCTATGGATAGAACCCTACCTATGGTCCCATATAAACTGTATTACTAAAATAAATAGCTTTGACATATAAAGTTTTTAATTGTCGCTTTTCTTGATATACTGCCCTGATTTTATTTTATTTTTCCAGAGCACTAATACTCTCTTTATATGTTATTTTTTATTCCTAGAAGGATGATTTGAAGAAGAAATATTTCGTTCATATTATTGATGTCACTATAAATAAACCCTTGTATAACATGTTATACTTTTAGATGTTACAGTAATGCATTTTCGTACAGCAAACATTCATTCCCTATTCTACTCCCTAAGGGTATGAATTTCATAAATTCCTATGTCCAAATAATTAACTCATGTCTTTTAAATGATCCTCTGTGCAAATTTTTATGTGTATAATCCAGAGGTCATGAAGGTTTATATAATTTTTTACTAACTTTACCCTTTTGGTTGATGAATTTCAAAAATCTCTTCTTATTCTTTCGGTAGAATTTTATTCTTCTAGGCCAGATAGTAAATGATTTTCATACAACAAATCGTTCGACATAATTTTACACTCTAAGAGGATGAATTTTCTAAAATTGTTTTGCATAACTAATTCACTAATCACTAATGTTCTTTAAACGAACCTTTGTGCTAATATTGATGTATCTAAAGCTGGTGGTATGAACTGACCCCTAAAATATCTAAAACTTGATATATAATCTCTATAATCTAACTGACACACCACTGACAATGACAAATAATTGATTTCTAGAGGTATTTTGTGTAGGTGTTTTTC